AAATTATAATTATTTTACTTTTTATCTCACAAAAGTAAAAATAAAAAATCAAAAATCAAACCTAAACGAGGCTTTTTAGCTCAAGTTAAAATAGTCGAAAAGTCAAAAAATAACCAATTTTCCAAACAAAGCCAAAATAGGTTAAAATAATCAATAAAACAAAATATCAAATTCAACTTAAAATCATTTTATTTTTTCTCTCACAACTATCAAATCAATTAAAAAAATAACTATCATCTCAAATATAATTTTTTTAATTAGATTAAAATAATTAAAAAGTAAAATAATCAATTAAAATAATATATTCTAGAAGAGGCCTTAGTAATTTATTTGGAATCTTTTAACTTTTTTGTTAATTTTGTGATCTGTTTGGAAGTTTTGACAACCGTTTTTTAAGTTAGCTTCTTTTCCTTCTCTTTTTTTAATTTGTTGTTATTTTTATCTCTTTGAACATATTTTTAGATACAACAATGATTCATCCCCCCTTTTCCTCCCACTCCCTTTGACCCCCTCTCTCTCTCATTGGTTACATTTTCTTTTTCTTTTTCTTTTTTTTCCTGCTCCTCCAATCACCACCTGCCACGTGACAAAGGGGGTGAGGGGGTGACCCCCAAAAGGGGTCCCAAGCATTATTCTTTTAGATAAAATCAAATTTTCTTCTTGAACTCTTATAAAAAGTTTAATAAAATGCTGTTATCTAAAGTATTGCACACAAAAAAAGACCCATCCCCAAAAAAATAAAAAATAAAACTAAAACTAGGAAAAAAGTCCGAATAAGCAATTTTCAAATTGGAACCTTTTATTTTTAATTGTGTTTGATTTGAAAATAAAAAATTGTAGAGAGAAAACAAAATATAATAGAAAAAAGTGTGTGAGAGAGAAAGATAACGAAATACAAGCTATTATTTTCACATTTCCTTTCCATTTTGTTTAATTTCCACAAATTTCTTTTCAAATACAAGGTACAAACACAGTTGACAAAATTTTTGATATTAAACGAAGGATCATGAAAATTAAAAAAGAATGAAAAGAAATTGTGACAGCCACCTTAACACTGAGAAATTAAAAGGATATGAACCAAATTGATGCTTTGGTGAAAGTTCATGGATTAAGGTGAAAATGTAGTAATGCTAATGAAGTGAGAAAAATGTTGCAAATGATTTACATGACAAGAGTTCTGCCAGCCATATATGGACGAAAATGTAATATTGTAATATGACTTAAATATATGAGAGGTTAATTGAAAGTCTGGCGATCAAAGTGAGATTTTGGTGAAAGTAGAAAGTAAGTCTAAAAATTTCTTATCTTTAAAAATAGCTACATATTCCCTTGGATTTTGGATTAGATTACTAGTTTTCTCTTTTATATTTTATAATTTTATTTATTCATTTTTAGGTATCACTTGAATAAAAAGGTATTTGCCAATAATTCTTTTTTACTTTTTATTTATTTTGCATACCCAACAAACAAACAAACAAACAAACAAAATAGTGTTCATGATAACAGGTATTAAAGTATATTTGTAAACAAATAAATTCTGATATGTTGACTTGTGCAATTAAAAAAAAAATTGCTGAACTCTGCAATCAAATTTTTTTATCATTTTTTTTTGTTGACTTGTGTTTTGTTAAGTGATAAAATTATAACATCTGTTGATACACTAGTTAGTATACCAATTAATATGTACCATTGTTTGTTATGACACTAATTTGAGTCGGATTTTAATTGCATTAAATACGTTGGTTAATAAACTTAAAATAGCAGGATTTATATTTTATTTTATGATATACACTTTCATAAAATTTGTATAATTATTTTAAATTTTTTATTAATAACTGTTATTAATAATTTATTTATTTTATATAACAATATTTTTTTTTCAAGATGAAAAGTCCGCTTAACGCGGAGTGTGTCGGGCCATACCCGAATACGCGTTGAGAAATGTGGAATGCCCATCACTGGTATGGATAGCATTTTTTAATCTTTAATTTTAAAAGTTATGTATTAGAGCATCTCCAATGGTGAATCAGATTTTTTATCAAATTTGAGTAAAAAATGACTCATTTTATCAAATCTGGTACCAGATACTCCAACGGTTCACCTTTCACCAAATCTGTCCCGGGACAACCGGCTGGTCGATCGGTGAGTGAAATTTTTTTTTTTTTTGAATTGCCTGAACCGTTTTTGTTGAACTTTCTGAACTTTTTCCGGGACAACCGGGTAGTCGACCGGCCGGTTGACCGGTTAGGGAATTTTTTTTTTTTTGAACTGTTTGAATCTTTTACTGGTTGACCGGTTGGTCAATCGGCCGGTCAACCGGTTGGTCGACCGGTTGGTATCACCCCAACGGTCAGTAACAGTGATTTGGTGAAATGCTTCGCATGTTCTCAGTTTGATAAAAATGTTTGGTGAAATCTCATTTTGATATCGATTTGGTGCAACCGTTGGAGCATCAAACAGTAACTTTTTCACCAAATTTTAAATTTGATGCTGGGTTTGATGAACCGTTGGAGATGGTCTTATACGCATTTTATTACTTAGTTTTGTATTATATATTTTTGTGATAAATATTACATAAATTTTTAATAAATTCATGATAATTTATAATTCAAAAATAAAATTATATATTTATTTGTAATATTACACATTTTTTTATCAAAATATTTTGAATAACAGAATGTATAATTTTATTACAAAAATATATATATTATTATAAAAATATATAATTTTATTTTTAAAAATTTTACGTAACATTTGTAATAAAAAAAATAGTTTAAGCCACTTGGGTAAATGCTAAATTAAAGTGCGCTTTGAGTTTTAAATAAATGACAAAAATATCAATAATTCACAAACTTAAATTACTTATATACAGAGGTGTTTTAATATTTTTTATTAAATTGTTAACGGATTTAACGGTACACTTCAGCCTACAAATCACAAACGAACTATGTGATCATTTTTAAACGTTAGTGGGATAAATCATACATGACCAAAATTACAAAGGGCTAAAGCGAAATTTGTCCAATAATTTTTGAGGTCGGAGGAAGTTCTGAGCTGTATTGAAAGAAAACTTTCCATACACTACGGTAGACCCTCACAAGATGTTAATCCATGATGGAACATAAAAGACGAGAAGTGGTCCAGAATTTTCCTTTCCAAGAAAGTCGAAAAGAAAAGAACAACTGTTATTGCCAGCAAGTAGATCAAGTGGAACAAGATTTAATCAGAGGATAGAAATGTCACTAAAATCTTCTACGTCTGTCGCTGACTAATCAAATTGAGTATTTACAAACCTGGATTCTCAGAAAGTCCTAAAACAAATTAACAATTAATTAATAGTATTTATTATCTGAGGTTGTTGTAAACGGGGCTTAATTAGCAGTATTTTTCGACAGCCTCTAGAACTTTTGATTTAAAACTTGGACTTTCATATCCCCGGAACTTAGGGAATTACAAATACAATTCTATTTCTTGTAATTCGGTGATAGAAATTGTGGAAAATGAAAGTTTTAATTGTCAACAAGCCATAAGAAACTATACAATCATTAATACATTATGACAATATTGCTTTCAAATTATGTTTTTCCAATATGAGTCATTGTCCCATTATGAACAATGTAGCATGTCGACCAGGCAGTCATTTTCATAATAATATAATCTTTTCTTTTTTTTCCCATACAAGTCAGTGTTTTGATTAGAAGAATCATCATCTCCATGAACACTATGTTGTGTATCTGGTTTTGTTTATGTATTGCCACTATCATTAGCAATGGTGCAATGCAAAGGTTTCCATAACCCGGTTTTGTTTTTCTGTTCTTTTTTCTGAATGTGTTTACAGATCGTTTTGACTGCCAATTACACTAATTTGATTGTTGAATGTGACTCTCTTAGATATCTACTCTTTAGACCATTCAAACCCCCAGGGGAATGAACTTCAACTTTTAAGGAGGGACCGTAGAGAAAGAAAAAGAACAAAACAAAAAAGGTGATTCAATGATTTTGAGAAAGAGAGAACAAGTATACCATAGAATATACCCTATAAATGGTATCCAACAAGTTCTAGTTCGAGTGTTGCTTAGTGAAATCTTGTAAATTTAAGACCTTTTCTGTGAAATAATACAGTATATATTTTCTGACTAAACTTAGCAATCACTTATTGTCTTACCCACTAAAGAAACGATACAAACACATCTATTTCATGACCAACTAGGAGTTGAGGATGATCCAGCTCCAACTTGCTGGCAAAAATCCAAAGACAGTGAAATTTGTCTTAAAGCTTATGAGAATGAAAGGGGAGGTATCCAAGAAGATGAATTTCAGACGCGGGATATAAGGATTTTAAAGTTGCCCAGGTTATATCAAGAAGTGGTCAACCAAAGGCGCAACCTCTTTTAATTGAGCACAAATCATCTGTTCCATGTTTCTCTTTTATTGCGAGTCAAAATCAAAGTAAAAAAAAATTGGAGACGGGATAATACACAAGTCATAATAGAGGAAACCATGAGACACTTTCAATTATGGTTCCAAGATTGCTAGTCTATAAGGTAACCATAAAGCACACGAGAATATTTTGTTTTGGTATAAGAATTTTCAGATTGGCTTTTCTAGAGCCACAAAAACATTCTAACAAAGTTCGCCCAACACAAGTATCGTTGTTGAAATCTATTTTTGGAGGATCTGTGCCGCATATTTTGAGGAGAGAGTAATTAAGGGAATGCACTCACATGTAGCCTTGCAACTATTCTAAACCAAGATTATTAAAGAAAGCATTTTCTTAGTTTATAAGCTAATTATGAATGGTTTTGTTCTTCTATTTGTTGGAATTAATGCAATAGCTTCAATCTTCATCGACACACGAACAAGATAAAAAACTAAATGGCATAATATACTGCATTTTATGTTAGAAACCAATATTCAAACACCTGCAAGACATTAGTTTATGGCCAGCGATTGACAATGTGGATTGTGCACTATTTAACTTCCTAGAATCAAGAATTCTACTAGTATAAAAGTACAATGAAACCGAGTCCGCCAAACAGTCCCACCAGTCTATACGTCACTCGTTTTTCGCTGATTGATGCAGGCTCTAGAGAAGGATTTGGGGCTATATCATTACCAAAAATTAATCCTCTACTAGCATAAAACGATCTACAATCCTGCAAACTCCTCTGATTTGGCAAACTCTGTAAACAATTTCCATTGACAACAACATTGGTCCCTGTATTACTGGGAGCTGGACCTTGAAAATAATTATCGGACAAGTCAACCACCGCGCCAGTGGCATTAAAAAATGCAGTAAGGTTCGGTAAAACACCTGTGAACTTGTTGCTAGATACGTTAAGAAGGCGCAAGGCGGGCAAAGACGACAGAACATCAGGAAGATTACCATCGAAACTGTTCCTACTCAAAACTACATACTGGAGCTGAGTGAGATTCGAAAATAAACCATTTGGCAACGACCCGGACAAACCGTTGTGTCCAAGATCAAGTACAATCAGTTGAGAAAGGCTAGCTAACTCAACAGGAATAGAAGCATCAAAGCTATTGTTTTGCAAATGCAAGAACTTAAGCCTAGAAAGTGAACCAAGATTATTAGGAATTGGCCCAAATAGGAAATTTGAAGAGAGGTCAAGGGTACTAAGATTGAGAAGAGATGAAAACCCAGATGGAATTGTTCCTGTGAATGAATTTCGCGAAAGGTTAAGAACTGATAGAGACAATAATTGGCCCAATATCAAAGGTATGGCACCAGTTAGAAAGTTATCAGACAAATACAGAGAATTCAATCCACTTAAAATCCCAAGAGAAGAAGGAATCGAACCGGTTATTGAACAAGAACTAAGATCGAGCACTTGGAGTGCACTGAGTCTCTGACCAAACCAGTCCGGTATAGACCCAGGAAGTGGAAACCCATATGAGTTAAACTTAGCTAGAAGAGTAAAATTGGCCAATGAATCGACGGCGAACCCGGGATTTCGACCGCCGGCCGGAGTCCGCCTCAACCCGGACAAAGTGATTCCGACAACTTGGCCGGTCCGGCACTCGACCCCTCTCCAGCGAGAACATGGGTCGGTCTTTCTTGGCCAATCTTTAGCCCTAATCCCTAAACTCGACCGGAGATCGAGCAACGCCGAAAACTCTGAGCGGGAACTCAGACGCACCACCTGCTGAGTCAAGACCGAGTTAATGAGTAAGAGTAACAGAGCTACCTTGAGTTGAACTCGGTGAGCTTCCATGACTACGAATGGTCTACGGAGCTTCGTCTTTTCATCTTGGGTCATCCTCAGTATTGCCTTTGTTCATGTCCGTGCACTCCATTACTCCAAAAAAAAAAACTTGTGGGTTTCTGAATTATTTTTTTTTCAATACAAGAATGCAATGTATTTCTTTGTGGGTAGTACTAATCACACCTCAATCAATCACGAGCTTTGATTCTTCATTTGGTGTGCTCTTTAAATGAACACACAGAAGAATTCAGGGGGGAGAGAGAGAGAGAGAGAGCTTTAAAGGGCGTTGTATTAATGACCAAAGCTACTCTCAACGGTGCAATGGTGAGTCGCTTTCACTCTCGCCGGAGCTATTTAATGAGTCTGGCACTGAGTTTAGCTATTGGTACTTCGAGTCAGACTCGCTTTGCTTAGTTTTTGGAAAGTGGGTATGATAGAGAGAGAGAGGGGAGAGAGGAGCTGAGCTTTGTGAGGAAATGGCGGAGAAGAGGTGATTCCGTCGCCGGCGAAGAGAGTTTCGCCGGGAAAGATGATATATATTTTGTAATTGGCACGTGTGCAATGTCAATCAGAGTTGGTTCAAAAAAAAAAATGTCAATCAGAGTTGCCAGTAGTGCCGCTGATTAGTGGTCTAAATTAAAACTCGAAGATTGTAGTGAGCTTTCTGTCCTCTCTAATCAAAGCTTGTTTAACTTGATCAACTTGCTGGCAATAACAGTTGTTTATCATTTTTTATTATTTTTATTTTTTTTAATTATTATTTTTTTTTATTACAGAAAAATCCTCTATATTCTCCCCTAGGTTCAAGGCAGAGCGCCCTTTGTAGAAATCACCAAAATGTCCTGTTAGTCGTTCCGAGCGAGGACACTATAATCTGAAAACTTGCTCTGACTGTAGACGTCCCCGAACGCCCCGGGAGGAACGAGCTCCCGTTCTGTTCATTTGGGGTCACTACAGCTCAGGACTCTCAAATTTGTCACGGTTCTAAGTCTGAACCAAAGAGTCCAAATCCAGCAAATCGTTTTGAGAAAACAGATTTTGAAAGAAGTGCCAAACATGGACTGCTTTGCCAGATACAGAGTCGCCACCTAAATATTTTATTTTGGGAAATTTAGGAAACCCTGACTCGGTGCCAAAAGGCCACGCGTCCGTCATCACCAAAGTTGCCTCGGCTCGGGAACTTGGGTACGATTGGGGAAGGTCACTTCGTGAGCACCCCCGCTCGCCCGGTCATAGACCGGCCTCTACTAACGGTGATATCTATTTTTGAAAACTTTGTGTATCCTTATTCTGGTTATTAGCCTAGGTTACTATGTGATGCACACAGCATATAAGTATAGACTGGGTCGCCCGAATTGGAACAAAACATTTCATGCTTGTTTATTTGAAAGATGGTTTGCTACTCGCAAGTAGGCTTAAAATGCAGATTTTGCCACCCTCGGGTGGGCTTAGAAAAGATGGTTTTGCCACTATCTAGTGGGCTTAAAACAAACAGTTGATGATTTATTCCAATCCAAGTAACCCAACCTTCACCCACAGGCATTCAGACAGTTATATCACATAAGCAATTAGCCTCATGGTAAATATGCTATTCATGGCAGTCACTCACACGCATGCAAGGATGCTAAAGCATAAAACTCACCGAGTACTCTAAGCCAAAACAGAAACTCATTAAAAATCATGCATGAATCCTAAGTATACAGAAATGCCTAATGCAACACATGCAAGAATGCAAACTATAGCAGGCTCGGCTATTCTAAACATGGCATATGGAATGCTACAGCTAACATGTATTCAACTTGGAATTGAAACACAAATGCAGTTAGTATGATGCGCCGAGCCCGGTGCATGCAAAACAGATGAATGATGCAAACATGTTGTCATACTGTATGCTAATTGAAATATGCCCTAATCTAACCATCATAAGCGGGTAAATAAAAAGGAAGAAAGACGTGGGGTTGGAAGACATACATCACACTCACGCACACTTATTAAAATTATGCCATCGCAGAGAGGGTCCGAATAAATATACAGTCCCGAATATAAGAATATTACAGTCCAAATAATACAGTCCAAATAATGTACAAATTCCTAATTAATTAACAAATTAACTAGGAAAATAAATAAATTGGCATGCAAGCCAGGGACTGCCTTGACTCCGCTCCGGATGATGAATGATGCATGCCCGGGTTGCCTTTGCGCGGAAATCCATGACGATGCACCAATTAGCCTCTGTTTACACCTTTTCTTGAAATGCGGGCCAAGCCTCGGAAGACCGCTGATTCTTGATTTGCTACAACAGAGAACATGAAGGGGCATAGCAATGTATTTTCACAGATATATGCATGCCTCGATCCTCGTGCCACCAATCACGCATATTGATGCATGATGGCCGAGGGGTCGAATTGTGCAATTCAATGTAGAATGAATGCACATATAAACACAACAAGAACCTAACTCCATCATGGGTAATCCGGAGTGTCGGTGACTAGGAAATTGAGACACGTTTCGTCACTCGGAGTACGAAACGCACCTCGTTTCCCATGCCCAGGCTAACTCCTATCCCGAACACGATGCAATATGCATGACATGCATGAAATGCAACAGTACAATCCTAACATACCATGTCATGGGAATGGCATACACGCGCAACGAGGTAATACACAACCGAGCATAACACATGCTATAGATGAAAGGCATAACGCAATGCAATAATGGGCTACACCAACATGAGAGAGCTCAGCCACACTCACATAGGAGGCCATCAGATGAAAACAAGACAACTCAAAATGCGTGCACGCGTGCACGCAACCGAGCGACCTCAGGCACCGAAATGCACTCTAATGAGACATGGCAAAGACATGAAAAATGATATGCAACATGCAATTTTTAGTAGCAAAATGAGGGTAAAACAGCCGAAACGAGGCGAAATGACACCCGATGCATGGAATTTTCCGAAATGCAAAACTAGGTACTGAAATGGCTTACACTATACAAAGCATGCATAATTGGTAATTGGAAATGAAAATACAGAAGCAAGGCAGCTAGAACAAGCATTTTTACCAGTTCAAAGCACGGTCAAACAGCAAACAAAAAGATGGCAAAACTAGCATGCAAAAATGGCCCTAAATGTGAGATAGAGTAAGTGGTAGACTGAAAAGCCCAAACAGGAAAAAGGCTCTTCTACAACACTGAAGAGGGACAATAAATATGACTACTTACAGTTTAATGGAACCCCAAAACAATATTATCTAAGTATGCTCAACATGCTATGCAGAGAGTTGGCCAATAGTCAAAACGTAACAAAACATTCATCAAGACCCTTAATGAACATGAATAATGGGTCAAAATAAGACTGTTTTTAGTCTGTAAAAGACAAAAACAGAAGCATAATGGGCTAATAAATCATGCAAAAATGGGGGACAAAGAGGGATATAATGACAAGTGCATGTGGAGGTCAAACAGTGATGATCCTTCTTCAATGTTGAAGAGGGGCTCAAAATAAGCTCACTTACAGTTTGACATCATGCTCCAAAAGATCAACACAGGCAAAAATACTATGCAAGATTATGGCATACAGGGGGATAATGAAGCAAGTGCAAGATGGGCCTCAATGAAAAAGTCCTTAATGAAACATGAAATAGGGCTCAAATAAAGGGTACTTTCAGTTTTGGCCGGAGCTCAAAACAGCAAGCAAACTAGCTAGAAAAATGTTGCAAAATTAAGCTAAAAAAGAGGGAATTGACACTTACCTTTGAAGACCAACCCTTGGTTGCTTCTTGGCTTGAGAAGTGATGCCTCCTAGCTGCTAGAAAACTCCCCAAGCTGCTGGAAATGGAGTATTGGTGGTGATGCTAGGTGATGGTATGAAAATAGGGTAGGATTTTGGTGTTTTTGGAAGGAAATGAAAGAGATGGAGGGAGATATGCATGCAATAGCTTAAGGCAAAGTTTTCCAACCCTTGGGACAGAGCTGGAGGCCAGGTATATAGCCCAAAATGGGGGGAAAATGGAGGGAAAAAGTGGGGGGAAAATGGATCAAGTTTTCTCCCCAAAAGGTTGTCCCCCGGATACAAGTTTTTTGGGGAAAAAAAGGTCAGTTCTGAACTAAGCAGGGGGCAAGGATCAAGGCCGGCCAGTTATCTCAGCTGCAGGTGGCCGGCTGGCCACTTATGGCCTGCCAGCCAAGGGTCAAAAAGGTCAATGAGAATTAGTAGCCGACCATATGATATTGGTGGCCTCCCCGTGTGTGTACATCACAAATATGTGGTCAAACATTGGAAAATGTGACCCAAGAGAGAGAACAACCCACTTTTAGGAGGGGTTCAAAAGGGTCAAGCAACATTAGTGGCCGGCCATATGATATTGGTGGCCTCCCAGGTGTGTACATCACAAATATGTGGTTAAAAGTTCAAGAAAATGGTCCAAGGGTGGTCAACATTGGCTCGGAAGTGAGAAAAGCAGGCGTCGGAGGGCGCCGGAGGACATATAACTGGTTGCTGAAACAATTGCTGGCCTCCCACCCTTCTACGGCCTTCCTGGTGATGAAACAGAGGTGCCTGCCAAAAATGAACGAAAACCGATGCAAAACGAATATTCGGGGGCCAAAACGCGCAGTTCGGGGCCCCGAAAACCGCTTGTTAAGCACCGAAAGTGGCATTCGACCACAAAGTGGGTCTCTCAGACCTCAGTGTCCCTCAAAAGGGAGTAAATAAGAAGTATGCCAAAAACTGGGGCAATAGGAGATGGTTAAGCGGGCCCGAACCGAGGCACACGGCCTGACGGCTCCGAAAACCGAGAACCGGGCTCCGAAATGGGCAAAATGGCCTACAGCCACAAAATGTAGCCCACGGCCACTAAGAGATGGTCTAAGGGACCTCTCCCTCCCCTCAGGAAAAGAAACAGAGAAAATCGAGCCTGGTTCGCAAACCGAAGCAAGGCACAGAAGAGGGTTCAGAAATCCAGAGGCAGGGCTCGCAGCCGAGACTCTAAAACTTCTGAACGAGCACA